AATAAAATCTGTGTTCTGGGACTGGAATGACAGGGCGCAGAGTGGAATGACAGCCCCTGGGAATAGCAGCAGCATTCTGGGAATGGAATTCCACTCTGGGGTCTATCATTCCAGTCCCAGAGTAGTCTATCTGGGCTCAGAGACCTTAATGGGAAATCCATTCTGCATTTTCTTTGCAACTTTGTCAGTGCTGTACTGCCATGTATTTCATTGGAGTGGAGCTCAGGTAGTTTCACTCTCCAGTGTTTGTATAGCTGAAGCTGCTGCTTGTTGGAGTTGTCTCCTTACAAATATAGGGTTGATGTTTTAAAGCCAGCTTGTCTCTGCTGAATGGATCTATCTGAGAACATGTGCCTGAGTGAGTACTCTAACCTGGGAAGCCACAGCCAAAGGGGGACATTACACTGGAGAGCCACTGCCACTCTGAGTAGACCTGGGGGGAGGGGAGAAGCTTGCAATGCCCAGCCATTTTATGTTCCTAGGCTCAGAGCATTTTATATTTTTAGTTTATATTTTAGTTTCTGCTGTGATCCTTGTGATTTTTTGATGTTTTATCTTTAAAACTGCTTTGCCAAATCCCAATATTCCCCCACCTTTCCATTTTATGCACGCATATTTTAAGGGGGGGGAGGTTTAGGAGGTGTCAGTTATCAAAGACTGTTAAAAAAACAAAATAATCTCAAGAGTTTTAAGCATATTTGTATTTTAAGTTAAAAAAAATCTTTAATTGTGTTTGTATCTTTTACAAAGTTTATATATCTGCTACCTGGCATTACATTTTATGACACGCATGGCCTGGCCCCACAAAGTCCCATTTATGTCAGATCCAGCCCTTGTAACAAATGACTTCGACACCCCTGCTGTAGCCTTTCCCCTTTCCCCACTTCCTTCCCGTTCAACCACCAGCATACCTACCCCTTTCTGTCCCCCACTATGGCATTCCTCTTCCCTTCCCATCCTTCCTTCCCTCTTCCTGACAACCTTCTCAACCTCACTTCCTCCCTGCTTTCCTTCCCTTCCTGCAGAAGCATCTCCCCTATTCACATACGGCCCTATTATGTGGATTACTTGATCTGCACCTTGCGACCAAGTCTGGAATTAGAGACAGAATGATACCGATGGCTAACACAAGAAATCAAGCTTTCACATTGTCTGGCAATCAAAGGAAGTGTGAAAAGGTACAGGACGCTCCACACATCAGCTGTCGGTTCTTCCCAGCTTCCAGCAACCAGAAAGATGAGATAACCATGAGCAGAAGCTTCCATATTATTTAGAGACTAATTAAAACTTACTGCTGAAGTAGGTGGATAAAGTATTACTCCCACTTTATAGATGAGGAAACAAAACATCAGCAACCAAGAACCCGCCCAAGGCCACAAGGGAAACCTGAGCCATGAAATCAAGCATTCCAACTGTCAATCCTGATCATTCCTCAACATGAAAACCTCCAGATCAGACAACAGAACTATTTAAGCTCTTCTTATAGCTGCATCCTAATGAGAGGGGGGGGGGAAACCTTTATCATGAAAAGACAGGGGCTTTATCCATATGTTAGGATAAGCCATGATTTGTTTGTGCCAGAACTGTTTTTTGCGCAAACTCTAGTTAGTTACCAGAAATACCGGACATGCATAACAGACCAGTTTCTTTACAATCTAAATCCAATCTACTGCTTACCTGGCTTCCCACCTCCAAGTGTCTTTGAATGCTATTCCAAGATCTGGCAAAGCCACTGATAAAGCATCACTTCCTACCCATCTGTCTACCAGTTTTTATCTCACCCTTCCTCCCAGGAGCTCAGTGTCCATGCAAAGCTCCCCACATTTTATCCCCATAACATCCCTGACAGAGACAGAGAGACTCACCCAATGAGTTTCATGGCAGTGGAGATTTGAAGCTCCGTCTGACATTCTACCCATTATGCCGGATTGGCTATCCCACTTGTTACTGGTTGGTTGCAATAATTTTTTAATTTACTGCATTTTTTTGTCTGCTGTTCTTTCTTAGACTCAAGGCAGATGACAAAGTTTAAGAGCAATGCAAAACAAAAATGCCCTGACCTGGATAGCCCAGGCAAGCCCGATCTCGTCAGATCTCAGAAGCTAAGCAGGGTCAACTCTGGCAAGTACTCGGATGGGAGACCTCCTTGGAATACTAGCAGTCGGGAGGCGGGGGCAGGCTTTATTCAGCCACCTCTCTGAATATCCTCCAGGCCCCCAGTAGGGGTCAGTCACCAGAGGTTGCCATGACTTCCAGGTGCACACACACACACTCACACACATGCACATACGAAAAATACAAACACCAACAAACAAAACAGGATAACAACAGTATAATAGGAAGGGGAAAGACAGGAAAGGCTTCGGCAGCCCAAGCCCTCTCAGAGATCTCCAGGCCATTCTCAACTGAGCCAACTCTGCCCTTTGCCTATCCACTTCAGTGCATTACTACTCTTTAAATCCATTTCACACCTTTTCAACAACTCTTATCGTCACCTTCTCTCTTCTCATCACATTCCCTAACCTTGTTTTCCTTCCAAAATGAAATAAAAATCTGGGAAGAAACTTGTGATCATGGGCCACATAACTCTGGGGATATAAAGGGTTTCGGAAGAGAGTAGGAACATATGGTAGCAGGTGGGCTGGAAGCAGCATTTGATTGAAACGGTATTTTGTGTGAAACAATGTCTATCATGTACACTGAAATACACTGAAGAAAATATGTGATTAAACGAGATATTTTGAGCTACTACCTTTTAAATTTCCCCTTGGCAGCCCTTGTTAAGGGCAGAAAGGTGGGATACAAATTTTGTAAATAAACAAAACTAAATAAATAAATATATAAAGGCTGGAGTTGTACAGTCCTCCTTGGTAAGTCATCTTTAGTAGGGAGGGGGCAAGTGGAGAGAAGGCAAAGGAAGGATGGGTGCATCCTACAACAATAACACTGACAGCAGGAACAGCTAGACTTTTCTGCTGCTCTGTGGATCAGATTCTGTATACAAGAGGCTGAGGAGGTGATATTGAACAAACTGGGATTGTAAAACTTAGGCATAATGAGAAACCATAGTTAGCACTAACCACAGTTAATAAATAAGGTACAAAGTGTGGTTTGACATCCCAGTTTAGCACCCACAAACAAACCACAGTTTGGAAGCCTGAACTCAGATATAAACTGTGGTTTATAAATTGAGGTTTACTATAGCATCTGAATACAGCCAGACACTCACCTTTTTCACTCCACCAAGGGTAAGATCTCGGGAGCGGATGGAAGGCAGGCGGCCAGGGGTAATGGGGGCAGTAGTCCTCCTCCCTATTAACCCTCGTGCAGCTGAGAGTGTAGGCCGGCTGCAGCCAGGGTTCCCAGGATCATTGCCTGCTTCTGACATCTCGGCTTATCTGTCAAGGGATAACCGAATGGTCAAAGACAAAAGAACATGCTTAAGCTATGCCATAGAGCAGATGTTCCATTTGTATAGGCATCTATGATTTTTTTCACCTGCCTAACCACAAAATATTAGAATGCCCCTCTTCCTTCACAAGCTAGTGAGGTAGTACAGACAATAACAGTACAAGCTATGAGCTGGAGATTCTAGTTCAAATCTCACCTGAGTCAGTTCACTAGATGACCTTAAACATATCCCCATCTCTCCCATGTCCTTTCTGTGGGAATAAACAGACTGCCTTACCTTACAGGATTCTTAAAAGGATTACCAACAATGAATTTGATGTGCTTTAAGCATTTAATACTAATGATGTTAAAGCAGCCCTTTCCAAATGGTATATTAAGAAGAAGAAACATTGCACAAGCCAGCTTGATCCACCAAAGTTTGTCCATGTGGCAATTTCCATTCTTCTAGGTTTGCATGTCTGCAAAAAGTTAGTCAGCCTTAGTGCATGTTTTGAGAATCTGAATACTCTACATAGTGTCAGAGATTGTTGGATTTATATATTATTTATAAATGAATATTTGATTATTTTTTGTATAGTTCCATCTACAAATTATTATGACATGAAGGTTTTCCTTCCGAAACATGATTTACACCTAGGATATCCATCTCATCAAGTTTAAATATACAAGTCAAGAGTTATATGATACATGGACTAAAATAATTTAAAGTATTTTTGAATTTAAAAACATATGTCTGATCCCAATTCTGGAACAAGTTATAAATTCATGTCACATTAGATGGGACATAATTAGTGCACCTATTGAAGTGCCTGTGAGCACTCCTCAGACTTCACCACAGAACCTCCAGGAATTTCCCAACCTGGGGTGGGCAATCCTAGTCCCAGGCCTGGCTCCAAACCCTCTGCTATGTAGCCATTCATACTGCAGGAGGAATGCTTCCCAATCTGAACTCCAGTTGGAGAGCCAGCTTGGTGTTGTGGTTAGTAATGCGGACTCTAATCGGGGAGAACCCAGTTTGATTCCCCACTCCTCCACATGCAGCTACTGGTGTGACCTTGGGTCAGTCATAAATTTTCCAGAGTTGCTCTCTCAAGGGCAGTTCTTGGGAACGCTCTCTCAGCCTCACCTACCTCACAGGGTGTCTGTTGTGGGGAGGGGGAGGGAAAGGGATTGTAAGCTGCTCTGAGACTCCTTTGGGTAGTGAAAGGCCGGGTATAAATCCGATCATCATCATCATCATCTCCTTCTCCTGCCTTTTGCTCCCCCCCCCAGCAAAGCCATCAGTCAGTCTATCTCTCACTGTCAATGCGGCAGGGCCTGGAGTAGATTCCTGCAGCAGCCATTTCATAAGGTATTTTTAAAAACTTTCTGGATATTTCTTCAGCCCCACGGAGTCCCCAGAGTCTGTAGAAAAACCTGTTGGGGGAGAGTGTGCCCCCTATCTGCGGAAATAAGTATCGGCATGCAGAGGGGACTGTTGAGAATTAGATATATAGATATTTCTTCCTTGGCAATTGAAGTATGACCACTGGGGACCCAACTGAAATTAAAGTAAAACCTGCTATTCATCCTTGGTACTCTGTGTTCTGGTTAAGTTGCCAATTTATTGCCTTAAAAAAATCTGGTCAGCAGGCATTTCCACTGGCTGAAGATGGAGCCTGGAAGGTTTGTGGCTGTCCAAGGATACAGCCTAACAGACCACCACATGAGGCCAACAGAGGGGGAGGGAGGTTAAAACCTCACTCAGAAGCATTATCTGATTTCATTCAACAAGATATATGATAGTAAAACAAAGGCAAAATATCACTTTGAAAATTAAAAGACCAGAAGGTTGACACATATGACCTGGCTCCTAATGACACAGACTCTTGGGAGTTGGGAGACATGTATCTGTGCTCAGAGTACACAAAGATGCACTGAAATTGCCTAAGAGCAGCCCTCCCCCTGTGTATAAACCCACCGATCATGACAACAGACATATTACTGTTAACGATAATAATGATGATAGCAACAGTCCCAAAAGCAGCAGCTCGCATGTTAAGCAATACAGCCTGTAAGTCTATAAAAGGTTCCCTGGATCAGACAAGTTATACCTAGTCTTTTGTTTCGAACAATGGCCAGTTAGTTTCTTCCAGTAAAGCCAACAAAGAAGACATGAAAGCAACTAGGTCCCCCCGCACAGCAACTAGTGGGTAGCTGGAAACTACCTCAGAACCTGGAGACTGGATAGATTTAATTTCTCAAATTCCTTTTGAAAGCTATTCCTGCTACTGTCCCAGCGCATCTTGTGGCAGTGAGTTTCATAAGCTAAAATATGCACCATACAACAACTTAACTCCTTTTGCCTGTCCTGAATCTACTGCTCATCAATTTCACTTGGTGACCCCCAAATTCTAGTAGTATGTAAATAATGCTGTTCTCCCGCTCCGTATGTTGATTTACAAAACTCTCTCATCTCTTTCCACCTCCCTTGTAGTCATCTTTGTCTAACCTAAAAAAGCCTTTCCTTGAATGAAAGGTGCAGCAACCTCTGGACCACTCTGCAGACGGTAACCCTTTTGCTCTCTTGTTGCACTGAAATTGCCGGGTGTTTTAAAGGCCAACAGACTCAGTGTGGCAGAAGCTTCCGGGACTCACTACTTCATTTCATCAGCGGCAAGAAGGATCACCTGGGTATGAAGCATAAATATTCCTGCCTCGCGTGCAGTGGGGCTTGAGCCCACGAAAGCTTCTACTGGAGTCTTAGCCCTTAGTACTGCTCCACAAGACGGGTGTCGTTTTCTGGGCCAGACTAAATGGGCCACGCGGGTACCAGATCCCACTCAAGAAAGGATAAACACACACACCCCTCCCCATACTCCCGTTCCAAACTAGTAGCTGCTTTGGGTGCTATTACATAGACACCACCACCCCGCCGTTCCGCCAAAATCTCAACCTACATTAAAGGAGAAACGTCGCCCCAGCAGGCTCCAGCAGCGACAAGGCCAGATTCAAGCCGGTGGTCCACTTAGGACACGAAACTTCCCATCCCCTTAACACGCATGCGTACGTAAGCAGGCGGCCATCTTTGAAAACGGTAGTTCCCCGTCGCAGTTGTTACTGAGAAGCTTCACCGAGGAAGGGAAATGATCTGCTCCGCCATGTTTTTTAAGGGCAATCTCTCCTCCCCTTCCTTTCCTCGCAGAGACTCATCCACCCTTGCTCTCTCCGGTGTCAGCTGTGAAGAACAGGAAGCCGAGGGAGAGTTTGATTGAGGTTTTATTTATAGCATGCCTTTCTCACAGGTCGCAAAGTAATGTGAAGAAAGCGAAGCTGTTCAATGGGACTTACTCAGGTGTAATTGAATTGGT